GGCAACGGGAATGTGGAAGCGTGAGTAGAGCTGCATGCCACCAAACAATCAGCCTTTTCACCATGTAATTCAAAGCGTGCAGAGCATGCAGGGCCACAAACCGAGAATTTGCGGTTTGGCAGGTGGCCTTCGTGGCCAGGCGAGGCTGGAATTCTTGGAGTCGGCTTTCGGAAAGAAATTCCCGTTGTCAAGGGGTTAATAAAGGTCTGGCACACAACAATGTTATTTTAACCTCAACTCTCTTAGATGTTTCAAAGTTTGCTTCTAGGGTTTGGGAGGATTTTGCGAGATTAAGAAGGGAAGAGCCAACCACTGTTGCATTATATGAAGCTTGATGCTTGAAAATTTCTGCACAAAGAATATGTTACTGGTACCCTGCGTAGTGGAAACCTGTGGAAGATTCCAAAAGAAATGTCAAAGCAGGATTTCTCAACTCTATGCTTAACAGAGCGACCAAATTCCTTTCATTGTAGATTGCTGCCGAGGTTGCTGCCCCGCTGGCTAAGACTGATGAGGTGGTACTCCTTGGCGATGACCGGACCACATCGGAGGTCAGCAAGCTGCTTGGCTCACTGCCAGTGGCTGTCCATGCTCTGACCGGTACTGACCTGTCCAAGGTAAGACACCAACCTGCACATACACATGATACGTTGGCATATGTGAGCATCAACCTTTCCTATATGTATTATGTAACCAAATAAATTTCAACTGGAAAAGTCATATTCAAATTCAAGATTTGAGTTTATAAAATTTTGATTTGGTTTAAAGATGTTTTTTCCTTCATCATCAGAACTGATGTTTCTCTCTTGCCATATTAAAGCACTTGTTTTTCCATGACCCTCTGATAAGTTGTCCTGTCTTTTTATACTGAACCACCTGTTTTTTCCTTGACTAGGTGATGCCGAAGATTCCTGGAATCCAGTAGTTGGCCCAATGAACTCACTTCAACCCTACTTTGGATAATACCAACCTCCATCAACTGAGACCAAAATACAGGGCGAGGTGAGCCTATACAACAGAAGGAAAACATCAAGTGCATTACTTTTACCCGACATTCTTGATTGTCCCTTTCCCGTGAAGTCTGTACTGTTGCAAAGCATATCATACTTGAAAACCATTTGACCAACTTCACTGCCAAGGAGAATTTTCTTTGAGGTTTGGCGTGCAGACAGGTTGAGACTACTAACTTTCCTTCCTTTATTGTTTGGTATTCTTCACCGTCGTACGCTGTGAGTCCTGCAAATAAGTAACTGGAGAGAGTGGAGGTCTTTTGGTGGTTAGGAGTCCGATATTAGACCGATATTATCTTCTTGTGTCTGTTTGCCAGGCTGTCAAAAGTGGTGAAATGACAAAATTGGAGAAATCTCTAAATTGAAAAAAAGCATTAGCTAGATCAGTATGTTAAAGAAATGGATTGATCGAAAAGAAACTATTTGAAATGGAATCTTGGTGGAAGTCATGAAGCCACCTATTCGTCTATGCCAGTTTTATTTCTTTCATCACTTTGTAAGGGCTGCTGGACCCAATTACTAATTGGGCCATCCATATCATGCAGTTGGAAAGATCTATTGCCTGGTAGATAGACACCCCCATTTTACATTGTTTTAACCACTGTATATATTATGTGCTACGGTGACATTGATATATCATACTATATATAAACATACTTATTAATTTGCTGCTTGACTTGTCTTAATACATTTAGTTTAGACCCAGTTTGTTGAAATTAATATCAAGATATTTAAAAAGATTTTCATTGGGCAATATGAGACACAGGTGCAGTCAAGCTATGTCTGATTCACTTGGCTGCAGCTTAAGATTACACACGACTCTATGGACTGCTACTTACCATAGACTCATTTGTAAGTCCAAGCCTCAGCCAAGTAATTCAGACATAGCCGCAGTTCCATGATGTGCTGACATTTTCAACAAATTGAATCGAGGTCAGGCCAACCATCTTTGCATGTGGCCCCTGCCGGCCCATAGCACATGCTTAAAAAAGGTGGACTTTTCCCTGGTTCTCATCACTTCCATCGTGTAGAGTTTGCCATTGGGTTACCTGGGAATTAAACCCAAATTAGGAAATCCTGTAATGTAATGGGGTGCACATCATCATGGGTAATTTGAAGGAGCTGTTTTTTCCTGAAAATTTCGCTTAACAACATCAAGTTAGTGTGATTATTTCTATCGTTACTTATTCTCAACTGCGTCTTGCTCAGCTGATAAATTCACTAAGCAGTAATTAATTCTTCTTAGCAGTTCCTTGAAATAAAACGCTGGATGAACTTCATCAAATAGCATTATGTTCAAAGTGAGCTTTCTCTTATAATACAATAGATGTACATGTATATGACGTGAGTAAAGTAATGAATCGATGTTATTTGTATAGTGAATAAGTACTGGTGATTTGTGATTATTTGGGTTTTTTTGCAGAGTTTTTAGATATTTTTACTAGACCTCATCATCGCACCAAAAAGCTGCTTCACCACAATCCTGCAGTTGTACCTGCAAAAGTTAAAACATATCTCGATTTGTTTAGAGTTTGCTCTTTCTAATACAAACTTAAACAAAATAATGGCCTTATGACCCTTTTCCACAGATTGGCTCGCATGTGTTCAAAACCATTTTTCAGGTCATATTTTGCTTATTAAATGTCTTGAAAATGATTTTGATCGCATAGATCTGTACACACTGTGTAAGGTTAAACTGCTGCTTCTACATCTTGTGCTCGGCCAAATGGCTTCAACCTGCATCCTGAGAGTTGGCCAAGGTCTCTGCACTCTGGCCACATGAAAACAAATTTATGTTATCCGTAGTTAGTTGTCTTTGTCGTCGTTAAAATGCTGTACAAATGCATAATGTGTTCTAAGCCATGTATAAATGCTAAATATGACTTTTTATATAATGTCCACCTCCTTTCACAGAAGTAATGTTAGCATGTTAGAATAATAAATTTAGGGCCTGTAATTGTGATATGTACATGCTTCTGTAAACATGAATGCATGCATTGGACTTTTGCCCATGCCCCGTGTACATGTACGAGTGGTTGTTTGATCAGGATGGATGACTTGGGTTTACAAACTAATTTCCAAACAAGCATGCAATAGTTTGAAGATTTCCACATTTAATTCTGATAAACACACTCATTTTATTTTCGTTTTTTATATTCGTTTTTATTTAACAGGGTAAATTCTTTCATCTAAATATGTTACAGATGCTTGGACATATTTGTTTCATTATTACTTCTTCCATTGTTTCATTTATCTTACACCTGTTAGCTAGCTACTTTCATTTATTTTTCATTTGAGCATTTAACTGCACACATGCACAGTAGAAGTGGAGTCCTTTTCCATGTCCACACATCAGGGTTTCATCTAGGATTGAAATAGTTGCCTGTCCCTTCTCAGGCAAGCCTAAAAACTGGCCATCTTCTCCCAGGAACGTTTGGAAAGTGACACCCCTGAGGTCATATTTTCACTGCATCCAATATCTTGGAGTGAAGTGTGCAAACTTGTTCATCAGTATCACAGATTTATGTAGGAAATGAGTACTGGTAAATTTGTACAAGCCAAAGCTGTCTAAACATGTCTTGGCCTTTCCTCGGGACTGTTGACGGGATGAAGCACTAGGTGGTACAGTCATATTTGGGTAGGGTACCGTGGGTGTGTTGACCATTGGAACGACAAATGTTTGAATGCCCAGTAACTAGAGGTATGCAAGAAATGAATAAAAACTCACAAGGCTTTGTTCCACCGGGGGGGGAATGGTCTCATCCCTTTCTGCACATCCTCTAATGGGTTGGAGCCTATTGCATCGGCCTATTATTAGCTGATGCCTCATGGTGTCACAACTGCCTCACCCCCTCCACTTTCAAAATGATTCTGCCGCTATTGGTTCCATTCAAGATGTATTGAAAATACTTATGTACATATCCCCCTTTGAATTTCAGATTCTTAGCCATTATGAAGAGCCCAGTTGCTCAGACCGTATTGGTTTGTTTCCCACATTGTATTCCCCTAGTAGTGCCTCTTATTCCTGCGATGTTTGTGTACTTGGAGAACGGCTCTTCACTTCTTCAGGAATTTATTTCAGCTGTGCCCTAACAGTATTAGTTTTGATATTATTTGTGTGCATGAATTACATTGTTTTGTTACTTTTGTTACAGTTCTGAGTAAATTGGTGTTGCAAGAATCCTTTGTGGGGATAATTACGTTAAGTAACAGTCTTGAGAAATATTTTGCCAAGGAATTTATTGCTTGCTTATATTGGTCAGAACTTTTCACAGCTTTGGTTAGAATGCAATGGAAGTTTGCTGCAAACATGTTTAAATTACGTTTTATGTCCAGCATACTTCTATTTTTCCTTACTCATTACCAGTGGTTCTTCTGTTACTGAAGTGATGTGACTCGTGGTATTCAAATTTTAAATTTGATTTTTCAATTGCTAATTATGCTTAAATCTTATGCATGCAGATTTTTGTCCTGTCCTTTTGATGTTTTATTCTATTACATTCTTTGTAAATGAAATTTATTTCAATGATTGTAGCGTTGTGTTATCATCATGAATTCAAATCTTAGAGGAGAATGTATGCTGCCTTTTCATTCATTATTTCATCATTAAAATTCATCTTCTTTGATTGTTTGTTTGCTGAAATAGCCTGACTGGAAATCGTAACTTGTCTCTGATTTCTAATGCATTGTTTGAAAGAAAATATGTGATTTGGAAACTCTTGAGATTCTTGAAGGTGGCAAACATATCAATCCTTTCCTTTTGTTTGTGACACAGTTGAATTAATGTGTGCTCACTCAAAATGATGCAAACATGAGAGATGGACTGTTACATTGGCTGTCATCAAGCATCTTGAAAGTAATTCATGAATGGCATATAAAACTGGTTTCAGAAGCAATATATATCTACAACATGTATTCTTCGGGCACTAAATTTAAGCTTTATTTTTATGATCATCACACCAGGCAATGCGGCCGGCTTCAGGAAGCTTCTGAATACAGGGAGGTTTGCTATCCACAGAAAATGTGCCAAACATAGCTGGAAACCAGACATGAGATTCAGCAATATTTTCCTTGAAACTTCTGCAGTAAATTGAGCCATGATGCCTAAAATCTTGTTTACAGTATAGTGGAATATGTTTGTCCGTCAAATCCTTTCATAGATTTTTCCTTTCATTTTGTGTTATACTTTTGTTGCAATATGATTAACGCAGGAAACTTTGAATTGAACAGGAGAACCCCATCTAAAATATTGAAGTTTTAACTAAACATGACATTACTTTAAAATTTTTTTTTCTCCAAATATTTGTTGATTCGTATGAACTAGATTGAATTGTTCAGAATTGTGTTTTTATACAATACTGAATGTGTATAGTATCTTATAGACTTCTGTTAGGTAGTTCCAATTGATGTGTTTATATACGTTGAGATTTTAGTAAAGTTATGCACACTTGTAGTGCAATGATAGTTGAAAAAACCTTGTGTTTCATTGGTTTGTGGTTGCATTTAAGGCACTGATGTCAGTTTATTTTTTGGCTGTGTCAAGTCCGTAATTTGCACAGACAGAAAATCAGCAACATATTGTTGCATACGCAGTTCATGTTGCCTTCTCCTTAATCCCCCACTCCTTCCGAAATTGTGGCAAAAGAAAAGAAAGCATGCATATCAAAACCTTGTTTCTACACTTCTGCTTTATGTCAAGAGCTTTAAAAAAGACCTGAAACATGTTAGCAAGAAATCTTTATAAAACAATATATACTGTACACTCTTATTACAAAGTATATAAATGTAGTTATGCTTTTTACACTTGCATGTATTCAGAAAGTCCACCATATATCATGAATGAGTTACGAATACACATAAGTAATTTTTTTCCCCTTCAAAGTACTATGTGATACCAATATGCCTCTACTGATTTTGCTTTTTCCCAACCCTCAACGCCACTGAACGCACAAAAACATTCTTGTGAAAGCAAAAAACACAAGCCACGTCATGTCGGGCCGACTGCCTCTGGTTCTCAGCTGAATGGCTCTGGTTCTCAGCTGAATGGCTCTGGTTCTCAGCTGAATGGCTCTGAGAATCTCTGCCTTCAAGAAGCTCCTGCAGTTATGCATCCATGAGAGGCAGGGCATACCCCCCTGACATCTGGGCCCCAAGCTCCTGCAGTTATACAACCATGAGAGGCAGGGCATACCCCCCTGACATCTGGGCCCCAAGCTCCTGCAGTTATACAACCATGAGAGGCAGGGCATACCCCCCTGACATCTGGGCCCCAAGCTCCTGCAGTTATACAACCATGAGAGGCAGGGCATACCCCCCTGACATCTGGGCCCCTCCCCCCATGTGAAATGTTAGTTTCTGTAGGTGTACGGACTGCCCCCGCCCACTTAAAGTAACCTCCTGTTTCCTCGACAGACCCCAGTTATCCTACTGCCTGCAAGGCTTCAAAAATCCATGATTTTCCCCCCAAAAAGTCTCCAATAATACTCAAGAAATTCTAAGACTTCTCCAGGGCATTAATGACCCTTTCCTAACATATCCACTGTAAATCCACTACTTTTCCGTGACAAGACATGCACTTCCATAACCTGACAGTTTAGGAATCCATGTCCATGATTGGAACACACGACTTGAGTAGTTACGTGAGATCACTCCTCTTCAAACTAAATGAAAATGCGATGAGATGGCTACACATTATGCATACAAATCTGTTTGGAATAAAAACGCATATGAAAATATTTATAAACACCTTCCAAACACTAGGAAAACAACTGCTATGCATAGCATGGATGTGATGCTATATGATGTCATGTTTTTCTCAGCATCAAAGGAAATCTTTTCAATTTTTTTTTGGGGAAATTAATTTCCATAATTTTTCAGGAAGGCTCACACACTCTGACAGAATCATACCTGTGCTGAAGTAATCCAACTTACCATCAATTCATATGTGAAAAACATGAATACTGGTTATTCAAAAAGTTCTGGTGACAAATCATTTAATCATTAAAAAAATGTTGTATCTCAATTTTGAGTAGTTTTGAGGAAAGGAGCCACAAATAGGTTTGCAGCTTCCCTGTAAATTGTTGTGCAAAATTAAATCACAGGAAAATGTATTTACAAAAACAATTCTGTTCCAGGCATTGGTATCTTGATTAATTTCAAATAAATGATCTTTGAAAGGAATGAAATCAAGATTTTTTGCTTGAATGACACGCTATGCATATTTTGGTTAAAACGTCGTGAGTTGTTGATATGACATTTTTACATAAAACACCGCGATGGCATGTAAGAGATAAATCTCATGAAGTCAAAATTTTACTATGAAGCCCTAAATCAGCTCGGGTTTGACTGCAATTTCCTTCATTTGACAAAAAGCCTCTTTGTCAAAAATTCTGAATCAGTGGCAAAAGGTACATTTTCCGTAAATTTACACTTGGTCTTCATCTATTCGACTTGGATGCACTTTTATCATAAAACTGAACGATTTGGGGCTAGTTTCAAGTTACGATCAGTAGGCTTGAAAAAACAGCAAAATTAAACACTTTCACATTGCATCTCTGGAAAATATGAACTTTGATGAATTTTGATATAAGACGTTTTTGCACAAACCCGACTATATGCAATGAGTGCACAGAGACATGTTTTAGCATGAATGCTCAGGCATGTAATAAAGATATGACGTTTCAACTTGAATTATGTCAAAATTCCACAAACTTTTTAAATGAAATTTACCTGTAACAACCTTTAAGTAATGAATCAAAATTCAGAAAATACCCGAATTTCGCAAAATATGCAGTTTTGAAATTTTTGCACTGGCACAATGAAATATCCTTCCCAACTAACCATCTTGAGCGGTTGGTTTTGGTTTATCTTGATAACAAACGCATAGATGTAACCTGAGCATATGTGATTTGTCAATATGCCCTGTTCCAACCGTGCCATCCTGCCTTCTCCCACCCAGGGCAACTTCCCCCCTTTACCCACACCCTTACCAGCTAAATGAATATAGCATCAATGGTGTTTGTGTCCTCCTCGAAATCCAGCGAGGTGGGCGTGTCTGTTGGTTTGATGACATCACCGTCAAATGTGAACCTGATTTTGTGCTGGGGTCGTCCGCAGAAGGTACTGTACTCTGCCATTAACTTCTGCAGGCTGTCGCTCTGAAATCGTCAGGAAGGAGAGAACATCAGGAGGACTTCTCCCAAATCTGAGGCTGTGACGCTAGATTATCATAACGTCTAACACTGGAAAATTTAGATTTACAACTGGCAACACAACCCTCTCCTCTCGGCATTTGTAATTCAAAATTTTCCTCCATCTGCCCGAACACAACACACCCATCCTTGAAGGAAATCCGGACAAGTCCTGAATTAATGGTTGCTGTTTTTATTCCGGGACAGATCACGGAGTGATTAATTTCTTACCCACAGAATCGTTGTGGTCATTGTGGATTTCTTCTCCTGCCCCTGGATGGTCACCTCTACCCTTTGTTCAGGAGCTGCGATCAGACACTCTGGTTCGACAATCAGACAGTCTGCAGTCAAAAGTGATGGCACAATATACGTCAAGAAATGTCTTCAAGAACTGTTAATGGAATATAATGAGGAAAGGCTAAAGAAGTAAAAAGATCAAGAACCTAGGATTAAAATTGGTGGGATATATCTGAAAAATCAGATATTATTTTAATAAGGTCGAGATTTTTTGAAATGACAAAAAAACAACCTAATTTCAGACAAAAAAGTGACTTATATCTCAATATCCTAAGAATGTCAGGAAAGTTTTACTTGTTGGGGATTTTTTTTTGGGGGGGGGCAGAGGAATTGCAGTGGAGGACACCAAGTCATTCTAGCTGCCCAACACTCCATGCTTGATTATCAGATTAAAATGCTTGTTAGAACAAAAGTTGGCAAAGTCTAGAGGTATGATATATCAAACATTGCAGGATCAACTACCGTTTGCAATCAGACTCCTTTATTCATCCACACACCGACACAAATGGTTTTCTTCTCTTTCTTTTTTTCTGGTTTCACAATCTATTCCATGGAAGCCATAGTTCCTACCCTCATCTTTCACCTATCCTAGCCACAGAACTCACCGATGATGTCAGCGATGTGTAGCTCCATGGAATGAGGCGTGTCAAATTCGCCGACGTCTTGGCCATTTCTGGTCAGTCGCACGCAGTCTCTCCGGACCCCTTCCTGGCTGGCAATCTCATCAATGATTGAGCTGAATGTATCAGTCTGTAGAATACAACACCACATCAGTGGTGTAAATCTATGCTGGAAATTGGAGGAGGAGGGATGGGGGGTTGGGGGGTGGGCAAGGGGTGGAGGGGATGACTTGCCTGGGGGAGGGGGGACTATATACATTGTACAGAGGGCGATGTTCATGATAAGATGTACATCAGTAATGTGTATCAAATTCATGCAGAATCTTACATAAGAGTGGCATATTTATGCTTTTTAAAAATTATTTTCCCTCTTTAGTGATACTGCAAACATTTTAGTTTCGTTGAGAAATCCTAAAAAATTTTTTGGTTGAGAAATCCTAACAAATTCCACAATCCCCTTTAATTTATTTGCTTATCACAAAAGCATTTGGAGGATGATTCAATAGCCCATTCCCCACCTCATAAAGTGTGGGGGATATATACCCTCCCTTCAGATTTACACCCATGCAACACAAAAACTCCTGGAATAAAAAGCTCTTTCATTTTGAGGAATTCTTATGCAAATGTATGAAAAACCGAACGTGTACATAAAGACCTGAAAATTTTTCTGGACAGATGAGCTGCAAATAATACTGACAAAGCAAATAATGTGCCGATGGTTCAAAATACAACAGACATCAGAATTTTTTGAATGGTCCTGCTTGAAAGAGGTCTTCAACCTTAATCCCCTTGGGCGTATGTAAAATCCTATTAAAAATTGAAGGATTGAAGACCCTTAGGGTATAATGCATATCCAGAAGCATTTTTTTTTCTCATTTTAACAGCTGTCATTTATGGGCAACTTTATTACTAGGAATGGGTGCTCTCCCTGACACCAAAAGTCAGGGACATCTTAAGATGCAAGTCGCTCCTTTAGCTATTGAAATGAAGGTCTAAGTTTATTTCTGTGATATCTGCATGAACTGGAGGTAATCTGGTGATTGCGGGGTGTTGGAAGTCGACTTGCATACCATCTGGAGTGGGAACCTCTTGATGCCTGCCCTGGACCGGACTTTGACAGTGATGGTGCTGCGGATGCGGGGAGCTGGTGGAGAGTCCACATCGATGACGGCGATGGTTCCCCCGGGGATGCGGCGGGCAGGGGAGAAACCATCGTCTGATTGGGAAGACACTTCACTCTGGATGCAGCGGACGTTGGTTAGAGCCACGTTGATGCTTCTGGTTTGAAAAGTTGAACAATTGATATTGATTAACAAGCTTTACAAGGAACTTAACCACTTGCTGCCGGGGTTTCCGAAACCAGACTCCTTGGGTTTATAGGCAAAGCCAGGCTGCCTGAAATCAGACAAAAGAGCGGGGCATGGTAACAAAAGACCGTACTTGGAACAAAAGACTGAGCTACTGCGAATTGCTCACATTTTTTTCAGTTGTCAATAGAGGAGGAAATCCGTCATTGTTTTGAAAGGTAATACCACTGTTTGTGGCATTCAGCACGAGCGGATTACCACCGGGGACAAAAGCGCTCCAGGGATGAGCGATACAATATCGCTGCACGCTCATCTGGCCCGTATTGAAAAGATGTCAGTAGCGCACTGTGCCAGTTTTGGGAACAAAAGAAAATTACACAACACCCCACAATCTGGGCTCTTTTTACAAGGGGGCAGGCCTGGTTGAACTACTCGGGTGTCAATGGATGTTGTCTGTCGGATTAGAGTAGCCATTTGTGTGGGTGTAAACGTCCAGTAAATGAAGTTATGAATTTTGAAAATGGAAAATCTTGAAAATCCCTGGGTATACGTCATGCAACTTCAAATTAAACCCGGCAGCACATGGTCAATGTTCCTGTACCTTTCACAGGATCGTTTTAAATTCAGAACAAAGCAAAAATCACATTTGGAACAGTTACCTATGAATAACTTGAATGCAGTTATTTTCTGAAAGTGAGTTTCCAATGTAACTACCAAAAATTCACGCTGGGAAAAGTGTTTCAGTCCAACTGGCTGGCCTGTGAAATGTCACGGCAATTGTATCTTACAGAAAGTGCAAGGTTTTTATGAATAGGAAAGTTTAATGTGGTTTTCCACATAAATTTATGCTTATTACGTAAAGAAATGCTTCATACAAATGTATTCAACTGACAGGATGATGGGTACAATTTCAAATCAATTTAGTGGGCAGGGCAGTTTGGTCCAAGTAGCAGAAACCTGAAAATCTTCCACAATCCTCACCTCAGAACCTTGGAAGTTTCTTGGTCATACTGCATCAACTGACTGGCTAGATCTAGAGGAGGTGGAGGGGAACATGGAGAATCCAATGACGAGACAGACGGGGCCTTCTTAGGAGTCCTTGAGGAGATGAGACAAAGTTGAACTAGTGGATGAATGCAAATAAATGCACATGGCTAAAATTTAGCAAAAACTAGGATTCACCCACTGTACGAGATGGCACAATGACACTCCAATATCATCTCTCTTTTCTACATGATACAAACCCAAGCAGGATTGGCCACTGGAGAGCCTGGTGGTTAGGGGGGGGGGCTAAGGAGGGAGGAACTTGAAGGTAAAGTCAGAAATATAAGGAACAATTGTCTCTCCCGGTATTTCTCAAAATGGTTCAACCCTTTAAAACACTCCATGCTCCGATTTAACAATTCTGCCCACAGAGGTAATTCAGAGATGTGGCAACAATGTTTCTGGTATGGAAAAGTCAAGTTGTTGCGTTGACTAAATTTTAAGAACTCACTCACTGTGCCAGATTTTATTCAAATTTAACTTGCAAAGGCTTATTATGCCCAACATTTACATTACAATTGCAGAATTGAAGAGTCTTTTCGCTACCCGTAACAAGAGATATCCTCCTCATCAGAGTCCAGATACACAGGATTGTTGGACTTCTTCTTTCTTGAGGTTTTCTTGTATGGCTGCCGTTTCTTCTTACTGACTGGCTCATCATACAGGTCTTCGTCCTCGTCTGTTTGGGACACCAAAAAAAAATGATGTCATATTCTTTTGTCACTAAATTTTACTTGAAAGTAAATTTGCAAACTGACCAAAAATTACTAGAACACCTGTGTGTCATCGCATGACATCTCTGCTAGGTACCTATTCTTTTGTAATGAAGCAAAAGTTTTTCAAGCTTAACAAGCTCCATGAATTGGCCTTTGAAAATCCTCCGATAGTCGAAGATTATCAGGGCTGACATTTATTTTAAAACCATCTAGTCGAGCAGAAGCTTCAACGACCAGGTATTGACCAACTGAAGACTGAGAGTACACAAACCCACATCGTGCCATGCATACCTTATGGAGAATTGGGCTGACAGAAATACTGCCTCATCTAACTCACTTTTACTTTTTCTTGGCAAGACAGAGGCATTTGTGTCAAAAGACTAGTACAGATACTGCCTTACCTGAGTCAGCAATGTTCTCATCTATTTCTGGGAGTGCCAAGTTCTGCGCTGCATTGGAATAGATCCTACATTTCACTTCTCCAACAGGATGAGTATAGTGTTTCTTTTTTGTCGCAGCTGGTCTCAACTTGGGAGTGTTCTCCTCCTGAATAGGGATTTATAATTAATATTGTGATTTTAAGACTGTAACCGACACCTCATTACAACAGACTGTGTTACAACTCTACTAGGCCTATGTGTCCCACCTAAAGTTGGGGTGGTTCCAACTTGAATGCTACAGTTGGGCTGGTTCAACAGAGGCACAGCCACGAGAATGTGCCATTTTCATTTTGCATGTATTGCTTGGTAACACATGCTAGCAGAATGTGGTTTTTGTTAGTGTCAGGGATGGAATGATCAGTTGGCACATTTTGGATGACTTCTGAAAGCTTGGGTGTAAGCCACAACATCTTGGAGAAAACTGAGAAATTTCAATAGAAATGTGTTGAATACATTTATGTCAGACAGTCTGACATAAATGTATTCAACACTGTCCCAACAATTCGCTGGGACTGATATTTTAGTTGGGGCTAGTTTCTGTAGGGGGCAGGGGTTGAGGGGAGAAGTGCAAGGTTTGGAAACCCGTGGCTCAATATACTTAACTTCAATGATTAAATTTAAGCAATCATGAGTTGACATACTAACATCAAGAGACTATCAGAAACGTACATCATGTCACAATAATTTCGAAGACATCAAAAGATCACTGCATCCAATTCAGACTCTTTGGGACTTGGCAACCTTTGTCTAAAATTTTACTTTTTGCACTAACGATTGTAGCTATCGATCATCATGATCATCAGTTCATGTCAATCAATGTCACTACAATTCATCATGTTCAAAACTCATGCCACTCATTGGTTCAAATGTCATCAGGTACCCCCAGAACTGTGAGGTCCAAATGGGGGCGAGGCATACATTGGACCCCACAGTTCTGGGAGTAGTCATCAGCATGTCTGACATATCTGTCACAGTTCAGAACTGGACAACGGGATAACATACACACAATTGAGGACATCAAAACACATCATTTTGTTTGTATGAATTCTTATTTACAACTTGCTTCCAAAGTATTTACAAATATTCCAACAAAATACAACATAAAATTAGGTTTCAACAGTATGGTTTCAAAGTTAGAAAATGCTCAAATAAATAATCAATATCTTCTGATCCCAAATACATGTACCTCAAATTGACAGGACATATTCACCTTCTCATTGAACGCGGGACAGTTATCGCCAGATCTTAGTCTCAAGCAATCAAAATGCCCCAAAAGATTTGAGAGTTTTAATTGTATCACATTTGATCTTTTTATCTACAAATTGGATTAAACCAGCAAGGACTTCAACACAAAATGTCTACAGTTTTCATGATTCCCGGTATAATAAATACTAGAATTTTCTGTTTTTACAGAGTTACGGTTACTAGAACACAATCTCTAAAATTTAAACTGAACCTCCATCATCAAAGTAGTAGGTAGCACCGGCGACCAGTCCTTGGCAAACAAGGTCTTGAGGAACCAGGTAGCCTAATTAGTTCATAATTCAAAATTCCAATGAATTGCGAAGTGGATCTCACATAAATTTTGTCTCAACTTCCCCAGTGAGAGTGAGCTATCAACGAGTTTCCTCCGCGCCACTGAGTTGATGAACCACTTATGTACATTTCTGCTACATCCGTATAGTAAGTTTGAGTTCGCATGATGTATAGTGTGTGCACTTCATGCGCGATCCAAAACTAGGGAAAATATGTTTTTCAGTCAGTTTTAATAAAAAGGAAACTTCAAAAGTCATTTTGAGCAAACAGACATTAAATGCAAATGTTTGACTGTTGAGTATGAAATAAGTATTTGGGATCACACTTAGTAACCCATCACCCTGTTGATATTTGTTGATTTTTGTCTGCTTGCATGATTTTTGACAAACCGTTCAAAAATGTCGAAGTGCGAATCAAAAATCTGGCCAAAATTTCTTTTCTAGAAATTTTCTGAGAACAAGTTTGTTTCCAAGAGACCAGTTTTCCCAGGGAATAAGGCTTTTTCTTTAATATGAAAAAAAACCAAGCAAATGCAAGATATCAATTAATGTCCTAATCACCTTCCCTAAGTCACATGCAATTTGAAAACAACAATCAAAACTGGATGACCGTCACAGCTTTAGCCCAATGGAGTGATCTTCAATGCTCTCACAAATGTGCCAGCCATCGCCGATTGACCTATTTTCGAAAGTTGTACAGAGGTACGGTGCCCAAGTGAAGCCATGCAATGAATAAATGTTTGTAGCTGTGCGGCGAGTCTTGTGTGCCTTCATCTTATCCTTTGTAGAAAGTTGTCTTTTCCAAAATCAATCGCTTTTTTTTACCTCACAAAATATTGCAATGATTGAAAAGTTCAAATTAGAAATAAAGATGAAACTATCGCGGGTATTTCTTTGCTTTCAACTCTAAAGCTTCCCTGTGTTTTTTCCCATCTGTCTTATTTTTGTTTTTCATTAAACATGAAATTAAGAAATTGCCGAATGTTTTCAGTTGAACACATTTTCATTTATTTCTAAAACTGAAATAAACAACATGTTCTAGTGCTCACTGTGGAGACTATTTCATTGACCATAATTTACTTGGCAAACTAATAAACATGCTTGTACTGAAAAAATGGCTTATATTTTTCCCAGGGAAATCTCCTGACAAAAGAAAGAAACGGCACTGATACATTTACTCCTCTGTGGGTTGGAAGCATGGGAGACTGTGACAATGTGTGAAAATAAAATGTATCCCTTGCCAGAAGAGAGTGACAGTGCGACAGTGCTTGATGTGTGACAAGAGCAAGCAGTTTTCTAGCATACACTGGCCCCATGATTTTAAATTGATGGAGTTTGCAAGTTCAATGGGTCGAAATCAGTGGAACACGCAGCACTTGTCACTGTCAATTCTCTGAGTCGCTGTCATCATCATCAGTGGGGGTGGTACTCTGAAGCAATGTTTTGCTCTCTTGCAGGAACATGACTTGGATCAGGTTGAGGTGGAAAAATCACACAAAGCTTCTTTGGTTCACATCAACAACACAACAAAATGCTTAGTAAGCATTGATGGTAAATACAATGTAGTTCCTGTAGGCACTTTCCCCGACTGAAATGAAAGAAGAAAACTACATTGAATTACTGTTGTTAGAAACATAAGTATTATTTTAGATGTTTAATATGCATGCAGGAATTGAATTTTTTTCATGGAAAAAATAGGCTTTGCAATATGTCAACTCATCCCTCCAAATGTGAGGCAAAATGATTTGCCAGGCAGTGAGAAAATGATATAAGGAACATGTCTTTTCTAAGAGTCCGTACTTTTCCCTGCATTCTCAGTTGTCAGTGGAGTCATGTGACTTCAGTCATACACGAACAGCAATTTTGAAACATTGTAATGTGAAAATTTGAAAGACACTGTAGGTAGGCCTAATGAATATTAACTGCCCCCACAACTGCCATGATTTTTGTATCTTGTAAACTAGGTCTAAATACATTAGCTCTAAATATTTTTTATGAGTGCAACTTACCGATAAAGCCTTAAGTAGGCTTAACTTTCCACATTTTTCGGCCAGTGGGGAGAAGAGAAGATCTTCAGCAAGTCTGAAGGTATTTTACGTCACTCGAAGTTGTTTACATCGCACGGCGTAAACATGGTAAAACAAAAGGTAAGGATGTGAAAACTGGGCCCCTGGAAATCTGGACCTTCCACGAAACAGTAAGGAGCTTGCATTTCACCTTTTAAACAGAACTTTCCTGAGAATGTACAGTTGTAGACATGGTAGAACTGAAGAACGACACAAAAAGGATGCAGATTTTTATTTCAAGCAATCCAGAACCATGAGAACTATGAAAAATCCAGATTTATACACGTCATACACGTGGCTAGGTCAGTCATGTCAGTGCTCAGCGTGAGTGCAAGATCGAGAGATCGCGTAAAGATCGACTTACAAGTTACAGCGCGCCACCATTTTATAATACCTCAGACATGTCTATCTACCACGTCTACTTCTTCCAAGTATTGACCAACCGCGAGAATCAAGCGCTCAGACATCACTCATCGTAATGCAGTGAATGTAGTGAGTAGTAGAACTTAATAACTTATGTTGATGGCTGCTCAAAAACAATAACTTTTAAAATGTGTACAGAAAGTAATTCAATGAAAATCATATCATTGTAAACAGCAAGAAAAAAAGGGTCGAAAACAACCGATTCAAAATTGACCTGTTCGTCCGCCATGTTTACCGTAAACATCAAACAGTCTGGTTTCCAACGTTGCATTTGGCCGCGTGAGTGTAAAAGTTAGAAAGCAGAAAATGGCAAGTCAGGGTTCCAATCTTCCTGTCATTTATGTCACGTGGTGTGAGTGGATGAGCAACATGTCGGACGGTAAGTACGTGGGCGTGAACCAATTACCCCCGAAATAACGAAAAAGCTTGTTACTAATGTCAGCCCCGACTCTGTAAATGAAAGAGTCACAACTCTGTCTTTCAATTATATAAATGCTGATATTTGTGTATGATAAGTTGATCTGAAAACATTAAATTTTGCTACCGAAAACTGGCTCTTGGGAGACAATAATAATCCCTTTGGAACAATAGAGGGCGCTCTATTGAATGAGAAAATGGATTCTTGAAGAAATCTTTTATTTTTTTGTCTCCTAAATATCATGAGCTCAACCATTATCTTTCAAGTTGGTGTGCCACAGTTTTATAGTACATCTGAATTTAGAAATTAGTTAAATTTACAGATTTAGTAATCAGCAGTTACTAAGTAACATGTCATGTCTGTATGATACTTAAGTTGGCGATATTTCAATTTTCATAAATAAAGACAAAATAATGGCACGAAACATTCGGTCCAGAAAATGCCAAAGTTAAAACTCCCATCCTAATTTTTCCAGTACATAAATATATACATGTACAGTATAGCCTATGTAGATGTAAATATGCACTGCATATACCTTAGCGTCATTCAGCATGACGTTTGAGGAGAATAAAATCAAAAGCCTTACTCATGGTTCTAACACCCTTGCTTTTGTTTGCTGGTTTTGTTTTCTTAGGGTTTTGGTGTTGATATTATCATCGTATTATATTAATTAATATTAATGATAAATAAATATACCGACTGCTTTCTTTCCTACGAAGCTATGAAGTATTTTTTGAAAAAAAAAAAAAATCCAGGGGGAGGCAAGTTGCTCCTGCTGGATATGCCACTGTGTGAAAGGTCTGATATGAGACTGGTTTTCACATCGTTGCCGGTATGCTCGGCTTATGTCCTTTCTGTCCTTCTTACACAGTGGAGGTGGAGAAGTTACAGCGTCATTTGGACCTGCTCCGCCAGGAGTACGTCAAACTGCAGAATCGCCTCGTTGATCTGGAGCAGAAATACAATGTTGCCACGGCTACGGCTGAAGGAGGGGCAGGAGGCGCGGTCAACGAGGACAATTTCGTCTCTCGACTTCTGTGTACCATCGCTGACCTGTTTGACAAAGAGCTTTACAGGTATCTCTTTGCAATCTTGGGTGGTCTTGTAGGAGAGATGTCGTCTGCAGGTTTCATCAGAGAATTGACTTGCTTTGAAAGCTTGCATATTCCTGTTTCTAGTAATGCTTCATTTGGTACATTATGAATCTCTGAAATAAAAGTTATTTAAAGGTAATGGACACATGCTTTGTAAAAATGTCAATACATTGATTAGTTGAGATCACAAAATCTGAATGTACCCTTTGTTATTACTCAATACGTTTGAAGCGTAGCTGCACAGTGTACTTATGATTTATAATAATCATTTATAATTCATTGTGTAGCATTGCAGTATTTAAAGGTTTTAAACATCTTTTCTTCTTAGGGACAGGACATAAAATCTCAATAGTCTCTTTTCTTAGCATAGGGACTGCATTACTCTTAAAAAATAAACTGTAATTTCTGGGAAGAAGTGTTGAGCTTGACAGTCATCACAATTTTTTAGTGAAACATCTCTTGTGGTGGTCACTGGGAGTGGAACCTACATGTATGATGATACTTGTGTTTTAAGTTAGAATAGGGAATTTCTATTCTGCCAGTTTAGCAGATGGGCTTTATACGCCAAAATATCATCTCTGATAAGAAGTGAAACAATTTAACTTTAGTTGCACTTCATTGGAGAACTAGGTTAGGTCATAGGTCAAACCCCAGCCTTACAAATGAAGATAGAGATTGGTTTTTTTGCAATCAACTCAACTTGGCCTGTTCCACATCACGATAATTATCTAAAACTGCAATTTTTTTCACAATATATCGGTTTAGGAAGAAATGGATATCGAACAGGCATAAACTCAACCTGGCTTGATGCAATGAATGTCCTTGCTTTCATTCCTGCAGTGACTTGGTCGTATATCTTGACGGTAAGGAAGTCAAAGCTCATCGGTTTGTCCTGGCTGCCCGTAGCTCCCAGTGGGGTGTTCCCAACCTGTCGGAGGTCAATACCTTGGACTTCACAGGTCAGTGATTGCAGATGATGGGAGGAGCTTGAGGCTAGAGGGGGGAGGGTTAGCGTGGTCATAAAACATGATAGGCTTGTGGTCTGAAAAGCCTTAAGCCCATTCAAATCCCAACACCTTGCTTGGGTTAGTTTGGTGGAACCTGGAGGTGTGATTGTCAAAATGCTCAGGCATTGAATGTTAACCCTAACCCTCCTCAATCCTTCACCTGTTGGAGGACTGAGGAGTGTTAGGGTTAAACTGAAATGGTTTGTAGGCAACTTGTCTGTTGGTTCAGTAGTGTTTTTATCGTAAGTGTAAATGTAAAGTCAACTGTAGTAGTGTTTGTTACGATGGGTGTTTTGTTTTGGAACAATTTTACCACTGGTTCTCACCTAGGCCCAGTTTTACGGCATCGCTTACTGTAAAAAACAGGAGTGTGAGAATTCAGCTTTTCGGCTGATTTCCACTTTTTGGGTTTAGATTTTTATTCAGACTTGGAGCTTTTTTTGTACACCTGTTCTTTACAAAATTATGGAAACTGTTCATGTTTTAGTGTTTTTGGAGCTGTTTTCAGCTTTTATTGGATGTGGTCACTGACACTCCTAATTAAAAAAATCTTGCCTTATACCAGAAAACATTCTGTTGACAATTGGCATATTTTATGGCTGAGTGAGGGATTTTAGATAAAGCAAATGCTTTTCTTAGGCGTGATGATCAGTGGATTTGGGTGTTCACTCAATCACGGTGTGCTTTCTGTTGATTCTGCACAAAATAATCTGACCTTGCCTCCCCGTTTCAAAATTATCTTCCTCCATGAATAAATAAGAAAAGATGATCGAATGATGGCATCAGATTCAGGCAGATTCACTGAATGCACCAAACATTTGCATCCTTTAGCTTTAAAAACTTTCTATTCTAACAGGGGTAGACTAAAATTTCTGCACGGAAATGTGACCCTAGGTGTAGATTTTCATGGTAATAGCTGGTCTCTGAGATTATCCAGTGCCACATACATGTTAGCAATGTGCGTTCAATCGCCTAAAATCCCTCATAAAAGCTTCCCAAGGTTTTCATGATCAAGGGAGTATTCGTTCTTGAATGTCCACTGGAGAATTTCAGCTGGTTTGACTTTGTAGTATTTGAAGTTTTTCTGGTGTCGGGTATCAGAAGGGATTGTGTGAGTTAAGTTTGACATGATGACAAATTCCTTCCATTTCCCAGGTATCCCCTACGATATCGGCATAGCACTGCTGAAGTGGGTATACACGGACAAGCTAGATATGAAACCTGAGGACAGCTACGTGCTTGGACTCATGAAAGCTGCCAGCAAATTCAAGCTGGACGTTCTGCGAGACAGGTGAGTGCTGCAGTCACATCCTATGCTGCTACAGATTGGGGGAAGAAATACCCGTTTGTCGGTGAAAGTGACAAAGTGCTGGCACTGAATTACTCTTGAGTACCCTTGCCGCTGTGCCCTCATGATCAGTTGCATTTATCTTGCACTGAGATGCTAAAGGTTTCTTGATGTATAAACAGGAACTAGCTTTCACCGTGTGCTTCACTGGTGCCCATCAGTTCGCCACATCGCCTTCTGATTTTTTTTTCATGTAGACCATTTAGGCTTCTAAAACTGCGATGCCGCATCTTATCTTGTGGAGTTGTGTATGCTTGATGCGTCAACATCCATTGTCTAAAATAGTGTGAGGACAAGCTGATTAGTTCTCTAAGACAAGCTTAAATGAAAATAGTCATTCTGTGATGAACAGAGGAGAATCACCCTGTGTTTTCTGCTGTGCCCACATGCCGTTTCAGCCCCAGTGTCCTTCATTAAAACCCTAAGTACCTCAAATCTATCACAGACCAACGGAGGGTTTTGCTTAGTTTCAGGTGGTTCCAAACCATATATGAAGAACTTGCTGTTGAGCTTTGTTGGAGTAAGGAATCAAGGCCTAGGATAGTGGTGTTGGATTTTGTTTGAGTTGGGACACACAGCAGTTTCTTTCTGGATAGGGCTCTGCCGAATATCCTAAAACCGAATATTTTAGCGATTGTCGAATAGTAGTTTTCGAATTTGAATATTTGAATGCAAATTTCTTGAAAAGGAAGGGAAAATTTTCTTTTGTTTTCATTGAGAAAATTGCACTATAGAGGCTTGTTTCAAGCAGATTCCAATGAAAAGCATCAGAAATTGTACAACAATTTAAAAAGTAACTTACTCATTAAACAATTTAAAAGGAATAGAAATTTTCAACAGGGCAAGAAGTCTTGTTCATCTCTTAAATCTTGCTAAATCATGGCTGGAGATATTCCTAGATGTGAGAAGCTAATATACTGATCATAATGTACAATTGTGTGTGTTATTGCAACTGATTTTGTATATGGTTTGTTCATCAACAATCTGCTGGTCATTACTACTGAATATTCAAATATTTGATCAAACCGAAGGTCAAATATTCAAATAGTGAATTATTTGAATTGACTCAGCCCTATCCGACTGGCCATGGGTACCTAGTTGCCAGTTAGACTGTTAGTCAGGTTTTTTATTTTGTCAACTGTTGGAGATTGACAGATTTTGTCCATTCATGTGCGGTAATTACGGCGACCGC